GGGGGGGGGGGGGGGTATGCTTTTGGGGGTCCAAGTGCGGCCTGCTGCCGCCGTTGCCGCCGACGGCCGCGGTGGTGTGTGAAGATCAGTTGGAGGAAGCGGCAAGACATGCTGATGCTGACGAATGGCAGCAGGCAGGACCGCCTGCCTACTGTAGGCGTCGTGTAAGACATCACCCCCCCTTGGGACCGACTTTCAAACCTCCCTGTTCCCCACACCACAGAGTGGCGGTGCCGAGGAATGGCGACGTTGTAGCCGTCTGGTCGAGAGCTTTCCGAAAACGCAAATCGTTTCATCAACGCATCCTCTTCGTCGTGGAGTAGTCGAGCTTTGAAAATCGGTCCAGCGGATTGTGGCATCTTGTGTCACACACGGTAACCTGACCCTCTCAAGTGCTGCAACGTCCTCCCCTCGGTGCATAACAGAGAAAGAAAACAACAATAAATAGGCGACACGCGCAACAAGGCTTGAGACAACATTGAAGGCTTGAAACGACATACCTTGGCACAGGCGAAGTCGGTGCTGCTGAGGTTTGAGATGCCTGCGCAGGGGACCTTGTCCAGAGCCACGTCCTGGCCAAACGCAAGCTTGGCGAGGAGCGCGATCTTTGCCTGCACGTCGTGTCCCTCAACGTCTGCTGTGGGGTCCGCTGGGGGGTCCGACCGGGAGGGGGGTGGGGTTGGGGGGGGGGATACTCTCATGTTTTGTATGCCTTAGCGGTTAGACCATTGACCACTCGTCCTCGAGGAAACGAAGCATTGTTCTTTTTCCCTCAGGGCCGATGACCGATGACCGATCATTCCGTCCTACTTTGCCAAAGGCGGCTCAATAATGCCTCCCCCCTATCCTATCTATCATATCTATCTTATCGTAGGGAACAACACCTGGAAAGGATAGGAGGTCGATCATCGGCTGTGAGTCGGCAACAAAGGTAACAACAATAACCGTATACTCCAGCGCCAATTTATAACGCCATCACAACAACAACCACCGTTAGAACCACCGACAAGCATACCACGACATCACCAGCAACACCACATCCCGTACGTGACGTAAGATACCACACACGCCCTGGACCGATTTTCAAAGCCTGATCAATCCACGACGAAGAGGACATAAAAAAACAAGCAAGGTTATCGGAAAGCGATCTCCCAACGATGCGGTTCCAACGCCGCAATTTTTGGCACCGCCACTCTGTGGAGTAGTCAAGCTTTCAAGATCGGTCCAGGGGGTGTTAAATCTTTCACCTACTGTATCTCTGGTCCCCTATCTTTGGTCACCCATCTCTCGTGTCGCCTATCTTTGATCACCTATCTCATGCCACCTATCTTTGGCCCCACATGCCTCATGTCACCTAACTTTGGTCACCAATCTTTGGGCACCTACCTTTGGTCACCTACCTTTGGTCACCTATCTCATGTCACCTATCTTTGGCCACTTATCTTTGGTCACGTGTCTTGGGTACCCAACGGTATCCAACAATAACAACAACAACAGAACACTCAAACGCACCCTCTGCGAAGCCGAGATCCTGAGCCTCCTTGAGAACCGCGGCGTAGTCGGCGCCCTCGGTCTCCATCTTCGTGAGCATGAAGTTGGTTGTGCCGTTCATGATGCCCATCACCGACTGGATAGAGTCGCCCACGTAGCTGCCCTGCATGTTGTGGATGATCGGGATGCCTGGTAAAACCACGCGGAACGCGAAGGGGAGGTGGTGGAAGAAATTTGTGTAATCGGGTACTTTCTTCGCGCAACCCTGGAAACGTGCAGGGAGGGCT